GAAAATCACCTAATTTCCCGTGATTTTCACATGACATCATGATCTGCAAGGTCACACCTTTTTGCAAAGCGCAATAAGTAAGTTTAAACCTGCTTTTTGTCGTTTTTTTTTCAGTTGTTATGAGTTTTACGTAGTTTGTGTAAGAGGCTAAATAAAAGCATAGGTTGTACTCATTAAATAAAGAGGACTTGAAAAAGAGGAGTTCACGTCCTTCATCATAAATTAACATAACAATTATTTGCCTTTTCTTTATTCCAATAAATAAATCAAGTCAAGGATTCATACGTTAACAATATAATTACTTAAAAGCTAAAAGTATCAGTCAGTTTGAGAGTTCGAGCCACAATTGAAATACCGTATTTGCGCGAACTAACGCCCATCTGCGCGTTATTTCGAATCTATGCGCGTTATTTGAAATAAAGTAAGCTTTTTTGTAAAACTGGATTTTCATAAGATCCTAATACCTTCCAAATAATGCGGGAGTATAAATATAATATTAATCTTGGAATTAATCAAATGTATAGGGTGCGCGTTATTTCGGACGTTTTTTGCCTATTTTAGTTAAGTATGATTTTCGAAATATAGTAAATATCCCTTCCGATTTTTCCTTTTAACGTCTATTTACTGAATTCTCATACGATTATACTTAATAGGCGAATTCACTTCTTTTAATACTTGCGATCTTGCGTCATGGATTCAATACACGCGAGATACAAGTAGTAAAATAAAAAAGATAAGCAAGAAAATGTAATCAGTTTTTGATTTCGGCATAATTATGCAAAATAAATAACTTATCGAATCGGATAGTCTAATTTTTAATCAGATGTCACAGGAATAATGAAAATAGCTATAATCGAATTAGAATCGATTCATATTTTTGTCTAATCTTTATAATCGATTCTATAAACGATTTCATATTTTTTTTTAGCATAGATTCTTGATTTAGAATCGATTATGTAGACCTTAAGAAATCTAAAGTATAATCGTCAGTACATGTTACCTACAGTATAACCTCATAAATGTCTTGAAATTAGGGTACGGTTATGTTTTCGTATTATTTTGTCTAATTAATGCTAAATTCTTATAAACTACTACTTTATTGATTTAGAGGAAAAATTCTTAAAATGTCAAATATAACACTTAGAAAAACAGATAAATAAATAAGTATATAAAAAAAAAATATGATATACGTATATGAATATTATCCTTGTAAAATCTTTTAAATGTTGTTAATTTGTATTTGCTTCAAAATAAATAAATCCAAAAATGAATCTAATTATTATTTTTAAAATTATACTTCTAAATCACCATATTTCTTTAATTGCCGAATATACAGATACTCATGTAGAAATTTGAGAGTATAATATAATAAATAAATGCTCCAAGATGGCCACCAACTATTATCTCTTTTCTCACCGGATCTGTAATAATTTACAAAATATTTTGGCTTATCGGTCATTATAGCATCAACATCACAATTATTGCAATCGTCTACATATTTTTCCCTATTTACTGTCCAAGCAAATACTGGTTTACTTAGTTCGTGAGCATCATTAATGAACTTTTTCCCGTCATTATTGCACAGAGAAACAAAAAGAATATTGTAACCATCAACATTAGAAAAATATTTCCTAGCAATATTCAACGAACAACCAATATGTACAATAGGTAGTTCAGGTAAGTACTGTCTAGCAAATGGCAAAAATTTTGGATGCCAAATACCTAGAATAAACCTATCCATAAAACTACTTAAATCACCACGCTGTTTTAAAATGTTTGAAAGTACCTTTAGAATCATAGGCGAATTTTCTAACTTTACATCAATTACTGCCCAAATCTTAGAATTTTTTGGCTTCAAGAAAATATCTAAAATATCTTGAAACCTAGGAATCTTACAGTGAGGTGGTTTCTTGGTAGTCAAGAATTCAATATATCCATTGAAATTACTGGTCGATACTTCACCTTTACCTGTTGTTGTACGATTTAATGATGAATCATGTAGAATAATTATTTCAGCATCTAATGTTAGATGAATATCTATTTTATAAAAAATTATATTATTTCCTTTCTTTTTAAAAAAGAATAAGATGTATATATAACCTAGAGATTAAGTACCAAATTCAATGGCGTCAGCGCCATCAGCTATCGCTTGCTCGATTGATAATATAGTGTTTTCAGTATATGAATAGCTAGCGCCTCTGTGTCCAACAATATATGGTTTATTTGTCCTCGAAATAAAGGAATTCGCACGGCTTTGAGCCGTTGAAGTGGTTTGATCTAAAAATTAAATAAATAATACATATATAAATATATGTTATATTAAAAAATAATAATTTGTTCTTTAATATAATTTAATTTACCTTCAGATTCCATTTTTCCTTAAAAATAAAAAGTTTATATGTACTGGCAAAATAAAATTCTCGGTATTTACTATTAAAATATGATGAGAGAAAATGAAGCATGCATAAATTACACAAAGATGTAGAATTTAAATATAGTTGGTACGTTGTAAATGGCAAATCTGGTCATCTCGGAAATACTGAGTTCCGACGTAGTACTATCCTATTATTGGTCCATAGATTCTTGTTTAGCCTTTTTATAGTACAAACATTATAATTAGAAGCCTTACCGTTACCGTAGATTAGTGTTAATCCTTCTCAGATTTAGTTTAGTACGATGTTATAGAAATTCTATATATTCAATTTATCGATATATAGCATGGATAAATCTTATATTCAAATTGTATTTACTAGTGTCTTGTAAAGTATATAAGCGCTGCCTTTTTCTCTAATAAATTTGGATCTCAGATTTGAGAATAAATCCTTTCGCATAATAACTCCAATACCACATTCGCTAATCTCTAAATTTCTCTTCCTGATAACAAAGAATTATTTCAGTCTCTGCTAAGGCTGAAATATCTTTTTTATGTGCTATGTGATTCTGAAGACTAATGAACCAGGATAATTCAAGAATAGCTCTAAAATTTAGACCAAATCTTCTATGTCATTTTTCAGTCTTGCACTTAGAGTCGATTGTTGGATTTGTAGTAATTAATTATAAACTTAAACTATCATATTACAAAGCCTCCAAATGAGTTTCATATAAAATCAATTTAGACCTTTTTAATTGGTGGTGACTGTGGGATTAGACTAAACTAATAATCAACTCAGAAATATAGAAATAAACTAAAGAAGATATCTGAGGAAATTTCTCAAATAAATAAGAAATTATAAGTTTTTATTATCTATATCTAAGCAATTTTTAGATTCTAGCTTATATTTAAGATATCAAAATCTTTTTATTATAATAGTAAAAAAAGAAGAAAAATTTAAAGAATAATTTATCTAGAAACATGTAAAAAAAAAATTTGCATTAAAAAGAAGTCTAGTTTCTATTAGTATTAAAGTCTATAATATAGAAGAAGTTGATATAAAATTAAAAAGATTAGAAAATAAATATATAATATTTTCTATAATACTTACTAAAGAACAAGTTTAGAATTTCTTTTATATTTATGTAACTATTTAAAATCTTGAAGAAAAAAAGTCTACCAAATATAATATTTATACTAAAAATTTGCTTTACTATTCTATTTTAAATGATTATTTTGATGTTTTAGCTAAAATAGAAAAAGAAAAAAATTTAAAAGAAAAAGAAGTTAATAGTAAAAAATTTCTTTAAAAATTAATTACCAAATTTAATACTATTAATTAAAGCTATTTTTTTTTAAAAAAAAAATCTCTAAAATTAGACTTGATAATATTAAACTTAAAGTATCTATTTATTATTAATAATTTATAAAAATTAAATATAACTTTAGATATTATCATTAAAATAAAGTTGAATTTAAAAAGGATAAACAGAATGTTACAAACAACAAATAAAGTATTTTAAATCATATATATAAAGTCTAAATAATAAAAGTAAAGAAGTTTTAAGTAAATGCTTTAACTAAATTAAAAAATAAGAATAAAGCTTTAAAAATAATAAAATAATAAAATTTACTATGTGAAGGACCAAGTTTATGATGGTCAGACTCAATGTACAGAGCAGACTATGGTATCTTCTGCATCTGTAAGAGCTGGCAATACAGCGAGTGCTTTAGGAGATTCAAACTTCAATATACATTTACTAATATCATCCAAATCATCTAATGTATATAAATTATTAAACACAAATATATATAATTACTTTAATAAAACTACAACTTATAACAAAACCAACACGTGTTATAACCTCTTCCTCTCACAACACAACTTACTACTACTTCAAGAAAATAAAACACTAGGCTCTTTTATTATTCATTTATCCAATCACTCCTTATTATAATTAATTCTTATTTTGATAAACTAAACACTTACAGAAACCTATATTTACCTTAATTTAAATGAACCTATATTTAAAAACTATCAAATTCTCAAACCAACTCAATTCCTCAAATATTATCATCTACCTATCTGAACTAATATAACTAACTCTACTCTACAAACAGCTTCTGATACTAATACTAATAATACTAACAATTTGCTCTCACTCAATATTATAACTCATAATGTTAGAGGATATAACAATACTCTCAAAAAACAACTATAGGAAGATTTCTGTCTCTCTCATAACTATAATATTATTAGTTTAACAGAAACTAAGCTTACTAATTCTAAATCAAAATTCTTTAACACACAACACTTCATATACCATCTATCTAATTCATCCTCTTTTATGAAAGGAACTAGAATTATACTTTCAAATCATTTAATATTACATATCCACAAAATTTTTAAACATAAAGGAGATGTAATTTCTATTGATCTTTTCTTCAAATATGATTTCAAATTTAGAATAATCTTAGTTTATTTATCTTTTACTGACATTTCTCGCAGAAACTCTACTCAAACTAAAGTCAGCCAATAGATACAGCAAGTATTAAATTAACAACTCTATCTAATAGTACTTGGTGATTTTAATATTAATATCTCTACAACAAACTTAACAAACTGAAAATCTAGACTTATTAACTTTCTCACATGCAACAATCTATATGATCTTGCTAACCACACATCCAATACATCTTACATATAGTATAACAACCAATCAAGTACTAGAATTGACTATATATGGTGCTATAAGTCTATAATATTATATCTTCAAAAGTTTTATTTAGAGGATCTATTAATATCTATACAAAGTGACTATATGATACTTGTATCTACATAGTCACTTCTTTATGCTAACTCTCCAAAACAAAAACATAAATTCAAAGCAAATAGAAGAATTTTTGACTACAACTCTATAAACAAAAAAGCTTAAGAAGAGTTTACAAACTAAGTCAATTATAATTTCAACTAAAACAATACTCCTCTTATATTAAATACTACTAATTTTCTGGAAATACACTGGCACAAAATTCAAACAAGTATTATCTCTCTACTCTTAAGATAATACTAAACAAAAAGCTCAAATTTAGGAACTTTTATTATACTCATTCACAAAAAGCTACATAACTTCATTAAAATTTAAAATTATTAGAACAGATTATCTGACAGGTTAAACATGTACTTAATAACAACTTTTCAATTCTAGCTAATATTCCACTCTTAATTAACCAAATCAACTAACAACAAAACCTAAATATTGAAAACCTTCCTAATAACAACAACCAAATTCTAACATAGCTTAACCATATACAAATATATTAGAAAACTCTCTATAAAGCTCAAGAAACGGAAAACTCAATACATATTCAACAACAAATAAATGAAGCAACTAAAAAAAGATATTTAGCACTTCAAACACAACCAACAAAAATAATCAATAGTATTCTTAATAGACATACTGATCACGTTTTCTTTCAAAATTTTAAAACTGACACAGAACTAACAACTGATCCTATACTTATTAAAGAATAAGTCAAAGATCATTTTGACAAATAGACTGAACACAGATCTATTAATTAACAAATCTTTAATACAACTTGAAAAACTACTATGAACCAATTTCTTCAATTAACTCTTCTCACTATGACAATATTCTAAGTATAATTACAACAGAAGAAATTACTTATACACTAAAAAACCTCTCTAACAATAAAGCATATAGTCTATCAGATATAAGCTATGAGATACTTAAACATGCTGATGATCTGTTTTTACAATCAGTCACAGTTTTGCTTAACAGATATCTAACATCTCAGACAATTCCAAAACAATAGAAAGAAGAATATATCTTTCCAATACAAAAAAGCCAGTATTTGATAGCAATTTACATAATACTAGGCTAATTAGCCTTATTGAACATATCAAAAAACTTTATACAAAAATTCTTACAAACTGTCTCAATACTTCTTTAATGTCTAAACAAATTCTCTCTTTACTCAACTATGTCACTCTCCTAGAAAACAGCACCTCAACTCCAATCTATATTTTCAACATTATTGAAAACTCATACTGTAATAATAAAGAGCTTTGGCTACTATCACAAGATATGAGCAAAGCATATGACTCTGTTAACATAGATTTACTGCAAAAATCTCTTAAAAGAATTCAGTTCTCACCTCAACTTACTCAAATTATACTCAACTTGCTTTCAAACTGTTCTAACAAAGTTATTACTAACTTTGAATTAATATAGTCATATACAGTTAGAAATAGAATAGACCAAGAGAAAACAATTATACCCTTGCTATAGCATATCTATTATGACCCTTTAATATCACATATCACTAACCAATACAAAGGCTACAGTTTAGGAGTCTCTTGGATTACAAATCTTAAAGAGAAAAAAACTAACAAGCTTCAAATATCAACTTCTGTTCTGGCATTCATAGATGATACACTGTGGATAGCTTCTTCAAAAAATGAGCTTGAGCAAATCCTAACACTTGCTTTATCCTTTTTTACAATAACCAATATACAAGTCAACCTACTTAAATTTATTTTTAGTACTAATTCTAAAAAACTAATACCTATTAAATTTATACAACAATCTATTACTCTACTAGCTAAAAATACTCTTTTTAAATTTTTAGATTACTGGTTCCTTCCAAGTTACTAACAGACTTAACAAATCAAACTTATTACTCAAAAGTCTAGCAACTTTACAAATACTCTTAAAACTAAACAAATAACTAACAAACAAGCAGCCTATATTATAAATACAGTTATTATTCCTACGCTTGAATACTGTATTCACAATATTGTTCTATTAAAAACAACTTGTGAACAAATTCTCT